ATAAATATTGGTGCTCCCCGCCATAAAACCAAAGAAGAAGAAGCATAATATCTCGCCTTAGAATTGGACACACTGCACTTAATCAGTCATTATTTATAATAGGAAAACATGAGTCTGGACTTTGTGTTAAATGTGATCTTCTTGAAACAGTTGAACATATTTGAATAACATGTAAAGGATACACAAAGGATAAAGATGTGACTATAGAAATGTTTCACATATTATTTAAGTATCTCAAAGATACAGAGTTAATAAACAGGATTTAAAGAATCACTACTAATTGTTTTTTATTTATTTATTTTTTTGTATTATTATTATTATTATTTTTTTTTTTTTAGTTTTCCTTTAACGTCAATGCTCCACACTCCATCCTAGTAGGTGGCGGTAAATGCACCTAAAGCTGGTTTGCCAACCGCCATAAAACGTCAAAGAACGAAAAAGAAGAAGAAGAAGAAGAATAGTAGTTATGCAGGAGTAGTGAGAATGAAACTCTTGTGACACGTTTGAAGTCGTACGTGTCGTTCGTTTACACAAGGAACGATGTCGAGTGTTCTAGCAAGGACTTTATTTTATCCCACACTCGCTTACAATGTTGTCATGGAAAAGATCACTTCCAGGCAATGGTATAATCGCGTGGATCCTACTGTCATTCTTGGTGCTCTTCCATTCAGGTCAATGACAGAGGAGGTAAGATTTGCCATTTGCCATTTGCCAAATTCCAGTCCTGTTTCAGGACTCGCCTAAATGCCTCTTGTCTCATTTGGTTTTAGTTGGTCCAAAAAGAGACAGTCAGAGGAGTCATTACTATGAATGAAGAATATGAGACAAAATATTTCTGCAATTCAGCTGAGGTAAGTATCTCTGCCACCTCTGTCACTCATTACCAACCATAATCACATATGTCAATGTACATCTGAGGATGTTTTTTTCCTGTTGGTTACATAACAGGAGTGGCAAGATGTTGGCGTCGAGCAGATCAGACTCAGCACAGTGGACCTGACAGGTGTTCCCAGCCTAGAGCACATTCACAAGGGTGTGGACTTTGCCTTGAAACATCGAGAGCAGGGCACCAGTGTCTATATTCACTGTAAGGCTGGCCGCTCACGCAGTGCAACTATTGCAGCCGCATACCTCATCAGGGTGGGTATGAGTCTGAGATACATACACCATGAACAATAACAAAGCCAGCAGCAATATATACCAAAGCTCTATGTCATAGGTCACCACTGTGAACAGTATTTGTCATTGTGTGGTTGCATATTTGTTTGGTACTTTTTTAATGGAGCATTTATAATCTTTAGTTTCTTAATTTTATTGGTGGGAAATTTTGGAGAGGAAAAAATGATATATAGGTAAATTCAAGTGATGCTGATCACTTCTCTAAATAAAACCCACATAAACAGAGTCCAAAGGGGCTTTTATACCTTAGCTTCACTTCTCTTTTTTTAAGAATAAACCATACACAATTCTATACAGTATATTCTTTATATGAATTTGTTCCTTTTTGACAGCGTAGGCAGAGTCCTTATTTAAAGGAATTTAATGATTAAGTCAAGTAGTTTGAATCAATGGATATTTTTACATTTCTGTTGTAAAACGATAATATTAAATGTTTAGCTACTTATGTCTAACCTCACACTCTTTCACCATGAAAACTTGAATGATTGCTGCTAGATCACTGAGGCAGACCTGACAAAAAAATGTAACTTGTGCAGCAAAGTAGAAGACGAATATCAAATATTGAGGGGGAGGGGGCAGTTTGTCCCTATATGATTATTGAAAAGGGTCTATGGTGGTTACAGCCATGAGTTAAACATCTATTTTTTCTTTCACAGCTGCACTGTTGGAGTCCAGAGGAGGCCTGTAAGGTGCTAGCCTCAGTCCGGCCTCATGTGCTGATCCGCTCAGCCCAGTTGGAGATACTGCAGGAGTACTACAAGCAAGTGTGCGGTTCTGAGTCCAGCTAGAAGATATACAGTGTACAACTGCTGACAATAATGCTAAATCTGATATACTGTACAGCCGTAATACATTGTTTTTCCTTGTTTGAGTGAATATTTTTCTATATATTCTTTTAAGAATTTGTGTACTGTACATAAAAGCAGACTTAAAGCTATAATAACATCCATCTGGATCAACAATTACGTTGTGAATAAAACAATATTGTTGTCATTTCTATTACCTCAGATGTTTTAGACAGTGAATTTACAAATACTATTTATTTTTGATTGAGTTAGTGATGTAATGTTTTTAAAGTGTTTTTTTTGTTTGTTTGTTTTTTTTTAATCCAGAGCTTCTGACTGACATATTTGTACTGGGAGTTGTTAAAAAACTGCATCTGGTAATTTCTGTTTCTTTGTGCATGTTATCTATAAGGCCATTATATTTTATAATTGTAAACAATAGGAAATCCTGTCTTGGCAGCTTAAAAGAGCCAATGCATTTAATGAAATTTTTTATGGCTATATACTATAAAGAAACTGAGAGAGACCATTTGCAATACATTTTAATAAATATGATGACAGACCTCAGTATGTGATGGTCTTTTTTTAGTGAAATGCAGGGTCAGTGTTTTTAACCCAAGAAGGTGTACTGTGCCATATTTGATACATGAATTCAAATCAAAATGTTGCTCAAACACCTGTTGTATACATCCTAATCTACTACATGCTTTCTGCCCTCTGACTGACAGATTGATAGTTCATACGTTTTAGTAAGTAAAATGCCTTTTAATCAAAATCTCACTGATTTACACTACAATCAGAATTGTGTTACTTAAGTGAATAACAACTGCACCAAATTGGCTATTTTGGCTCAGTTTGGGCTTCTGAAAAAAAAATTATGTGTATTTTTGTGAGCTCTAAATTCTCACTATATCTTAATATATGAACCACAAAAACCTGATGTATCAAATATGAAACAAAGCATAGAACACTCATGCAAACTTAAATATTGTTTCATATTTTGTCTTAAGATCAATTTTATTATTTATTTTGACAATTATTCCATAAATCAAGCTGTTAAAGGGCTCGATTGTGCCGCCTGAAGATGGCAGCAGCGCACTGAGAAATGCACTCGTACCGTCAGCGGATCCCGCGAGGAAGGACGCGGTGTGGGTGGGAGTAAAGATGGCGGCCTCCTTGGTTAGGTTTGTCCGCAGCGGTTTTGGAAGAAGTCTGAACGGTAAGAAATAAGCAAGGGCAGCACTGACCTCATCGTGGTGAATTTTTATACGTAATCACTATTATTGTCACTGTGCAGGACTCACAACCCACTCTTCTATGTTTGTGCTTTTCTTCGCTGTTGACCTTTCCTCTTGCTCTAGCAGGCAGTACAAATACACTGAACGCTAATGACAGTGTCGACTCATTTACAGTTTTAATCTTTATTATGCCAGTACAGCTTCTTTTATTCCCTTCCCGTTTCCAGGGAGAACAATATTTGCGTTGTTTTTTTTTTTGCAGGAATGTCATTAATTTTGAATTTAGTTGGACACAAGCTAATAGTTTTATTTATTTTAAAGTTTTGATTTGAACCTGCCATAATATCAGCACTGTGTTGTGATGCATTATTTTCTCTCAATCTCTCTCATAGTTGCTAGACAGAGTGCTGCCATTGTCCAGACAAGAACAACGACAACTGAAACCAGACGTGAGTAGATTAGGGGTGTTGGGTTTATCATTGTTGTTAACGGGTGGTGTTGTTGATGTTTCACGTTTAAATGTCTTTTTGCATTAGCTACTGTGAGGCCCAAGGATCCAGTCACACACACTCAGCTGTCAGAGTTTGGAGAATACATCGCAGAGATTCTCCCCAAATATGTGCAACAAGTTCAGGTCAGTTGTTCTCAAATTTATCGTTTTCAGATGACCGATTAGTGACATTTTGAAGATGCACTCTGCAGTTCCTCAATGGTTCTCTCATGTACATCGTTTTGTTTGAATTCTAGGTGACCTGCTTTAATGAGCTGGAGGTAATGATCCACCCAGAAGGGATTATACCTGTTCTTACCTTCCTGAAGGATCACACAAACTCTCAGTTCAACAACATGATTGACCTCACAGCCGTGGATGTCCCTACAAGGCAGTACCGCTTTGAGGTGAGCATGCTCAGTCTAATTAAAAAATGTCCAAAAATAAGATCATTTGCATCTTTGTGTGTGTGTGTGTCCCCCACAATATATTCATGTAAAAATAACATGCAAAAAGTACATGTTTTGGTAGTCTGGATGGGAGAAGTTATTAGCATGGGAAATATTAATGCAACTGTTCTGCAAAGGATTGATGATCCAATATTTCCTTTTTTAGATTGTGTATAATCTGCTGTCCCTGCGCTATAATTCTCGTATCCGAGTGAAGACCTACACTGATGAGCTGACTCCTCTTGACTCCTCTGTGCCTGTGCACCAGGCAGCTGACTGGTATGAGAGAGAGGTATGTCTTATTGTGATCAGCTGAGGTTTCATGAACAAATTTTGAGCTTTGTGTATTACAGACTATAAAAATAGATGTCTGTTTAGTCTGCAATATACTCAGTCACAAGCTGCAGTGCTCATGCAGTGGAGCCCCCGAGCTACTTCCCTCCTGCTATGACACTCTGCAGACTGCAAATGACTGTGAATGTCTAGTCAGTGGTCCATGAGGTCATGCGGCATAGCTGTAGTTGCATGCAGATGTTATGTCTGTTTTATCAGATTTTAGAGGTAGAGTTGCTTCATTATCAGCCCTCTACGGACACCTTGGCAATTGAATCGCCATTGGCTAGTAAATTTTTTTGTTTACTCGCCAGACTGATAAAAATATATATGTATATATATATATATATATGTGTGTGTATGTTTGTTTGTAAAATGGCACAGTTATAAATGTATCATGGCTTCCACAAAAATATTAAACAGCACAACTATTTTCAATATTGATAAGAATAAGAAATGTGTCTTAAGCACCAAATCAGCATATTAGAATGATTTCTGAAGGATCACGTGACACTGAAAACTGGAGTAATGGTTGCTGAAAATTCATACTTGCCATCACAGGAATAAATTACATTTTAAAACGTATTCAAACAGGTGTTTTTTTTTTGTTTAACTGTAATAATATTTCACAATATTAGTATTTACTGCATTTTTGATAGAATAAATGCAGCTTTAATGAACATGAGAGACGACTTTCAAAATTATTGTAAAAAATTGAACCTGTTTTTTTTAATAATAGTTTGTGTTCTAAGGTACAGAGCAATTGCAGTTTTGTTTTTTATTTTATTTTTTTTATAAAATGTGAAACATTACTGGGTGTGTTGATTCTTCTTCGTCAGGTACGTTATGATGATGAAGTGAAGCGGGTTGTGGCTGAACCTGTTGAGCTCGCCCAGGAGTTCCGTAAGTTTGACTTGAACAGTCCATGGGAAGCGTTTCCCGCATACCGCGAGCCTAAAGACGCTCCTAAACTGGAATCTGGGGATAAACCAGCAAAGTAACCCCCCCTCTGTGCTCTGACCCTTGAGAGTTGTACTCATACCCTCAGATAAATCCTCAGAACGTATTTATGTAAATAAGACCCTGTGCTACATCTAAATAAAACAATGAAAACCGCTCCTGTTTCTGCATGTCATTTCTAATTTATACATTTTTTGCAAACATGTCTACCACTTGACACTTGTTAAAAACTGTTAAAGGCAGAGACATGCAAGAACTTTGAATCAAGATTATTCATTTATATTTAACAATTTTAAGAGTTTTATGTTAAAAATTGTAGCAAATGATATTCAAAACAAATCTTTTTGTGGTAACACTTTTAATTGAAATTGAGAAGTGTCAGGAAAATATACAACTGATATATATAGAAAGTTCTCTCCGGTATTCTAATGAAAATGTAAACCTGTAAAACAATGTGTGTTTGAATAATGCTTAAATGTCAAGTTCCTGTTAAATACACTTATGTTTGATACCTTTGTTATTAGTTTTTTTCTGATTTGGCAGTTAAATGTGCATAATGCCAATGCCTTCACGCTTTTACATATTTCCAGTTACCACTACAAAAGAATAAATCATATCGACAGGTTATTTCCAAAAAGATCTTTATCTACAAAATTATGGGTTTTACCCAAAAAAATATTTAATTGCTATTCAGGAATGTCATTACACACAGCAAAATTATAGGTATAAGAATCCTCCATAATTAACTGGCTTTTCCATTTACCAATCTCATTACAGTTTGTGGCAAGTCAGCTACTCAGTAAGAGCACATAAATTAGCTCTTGATAGACGCAAATTATCCAGCGTATCAGCTGCCTGCTGCTACTGTGTTCTCTCATCCCTTCATGAGTGGGGCTCTGCTGCAGTCGTTGGTTCTGGCATATATATATATTTTCTAATTTTTGTGCAGTTTCTTTAATATTTTATGTTTTCTTTTTACTATTTATCATTTACTACTGATGACTTTTAAAACATTAGCCTTCATTAAATATAGTGTAGTGCAGTGGTTCTCAAACTTTTTATACCAAGTACCACCTCAGAAAATATTTGGCTCTCCAAGTACCACCATAATGACCAACATTAAAACACAGTAGTGTAGCAGGCCTAACTATTCAGCTACAGCTTTGCACAATTAAAAAATGAGGTGGTTTTATTCCTATTTAGAATATTTATTGTTGTCAGCCACTTTAACATTGTAAATACACTGTCTGAACGTTAACACTGCAGTGCTTACAAACAGGTAAATAAAAATCTTAAAGGGGTCATATGATGCGATTTCCTTTCTCTTTGGAGTGTTACAAGCTCTTGGTGCATAAAGAAGATCTGTAAAGTTGCAAAGACTAAAGTCTCAAATCCAAAGAGATATTCTTTATAAAAGTTAAGAGTCAGCCACACCTACCTAAAACGGCTCGTTCTAACACGCCCCCACATATCTACCTCACTATGTGGGAAGATTGGCATAACGCCGCCCAAATGTTCACGCAAAGAAAGAAGGCGTAACTTTTATTCTCGCTGTAGTATTGTTGACGCTGCAGCCATGTTGGCCAATCACAGCACACCTCGCTTTTTCAGACCGATGAGCTTTGTAAAAATCGACGCGTTTCAAAAAGGCAGGGCATAGAGGAGAAACAATAATGTACAGTATGTGGAAAATAATGTTTTTTTTTACTTTAAACCGCATAAACACATTTCATTACACCAAATACACAAAATAATGTTCTTTTTAGCAGCATCATATGACCCCTTTAAATAATGTTTCAATTAAAATGTGTTGTACCTAAAAGTTAAATAAAAACTGTACTGCATTTTAGAATATAAACCTTTCCCTCAATGCTCTGCCACCACCACCATGCTTAACAATACAAAAGGTATTATCTAGGTGTTGCTGCATATGGTTTGCACCAAAAACAGTGCTTTACTTTCCGGCTTTTTCCAACTTGAATCAAACAAATTCATCTTAAAATCCCCCAGGCCTCTCTTTAGTCTTTATGTCAGAAAGTTTTAAGACCTCATAAAGGCAGTGCCATTCATGATGCAATCAAGCTTATGTAAATTCAAAAACTAATGCAAAGGTGTGCCATGTTAACATTATTGCTTAAAGTAATTAATCACCTCAACTGATTTAGGTTGTTAAAATGTGTTTACAAGCAGAGATTTTTAAATATTTACTTGATTCAGATATTTGAATACTTCATTCATTCATCAGAGAAAAATCCTTCCACAGGTTAAAATATCATTGGTAGGAGTGACAGCACTGTAGATGTATTTACACTAATGAGAAATACAAGACAAAAGAAAGAGTTTACATTCAGAGTTTTTATTTGGCTTGCTTCTGAGGACTGGCTTCTTCCACAATAAGAATCCAGCGTACACTGAAACCACTTTTACGGTACTTAAAGTAGCTCATACTGCACAAACATTGAAAAGCTTATCCAGCACTCGTTCACAGTTTATTTATCGGATTTAAACCCATACAGAAAAGTACATAAGACCAGGCACAGAATTAGAAATGCAAACGTTTACTTATATAGAAATGGATAAAAAATACAGAAGTATTTACATTTTGGAATTGTGCACTTCATATTACATAATGCTTCATCTTTATGGCCATATACACACAACAGCATAAACCAGATGAATTATATAAACTGATCGGTATCTTTGATAGATTTTCATTCCAAAATATAAACATTAATATTTGTTGAACTATTTTCCCAAAATCATTAGCATCAGTTGGTGTACATGTATTTGGCAGTGAATAAAATCATTGTTCCGTTAGAAGCTGTCAGCATGCGCTACATTTGGCAAAGTTTCTGGCCAAACATAATAAATTTACAGAAGCGGTCCTCAGTTTAAATGTGTAGTGCTGTTCCAAAACCAGAGTGATTATTGACTGACTACATGAATTTGACTACATGAATGACTACATGATTTACTGGAATCCTCAGGTTTTTTTTTTTTTTTTGTGCCATAAACAGATTGAACACTGGAAATAATAGATAGAAAAGCAAAAGACAGTACTCTCGCGCAAATCTTTCATGCAAAAGCTTCAAAGACAACAAAATTTCTTATTTGAAACATGCATGCATTTAATAATTGTATTGAAACACAGTTTTGAGTTGGAGCTGTCTAATGAACTGCCTCTGCGGAGATAAGTGCTTTAGTGCCAAGAACTTCAGATCGTTCAGGCAAGCTGTATATTTTGTTTTATATTGACTTTTATTAACCTTTTTAATTACATTTTTAAAAAATAATGTTTTAAATTTTACAAATGATTTATATTTGAAAGTGACCTGTTTGTATTTTATCATTATATTATTGTGAGAACTCAGCATCCAAGGGCTTAAAGTCACCATAAAATCAAAACGGACCATTCTTATTTTTTATGGAATGTTGAAGTATTTATTATGATTGAATTAGCCATGCACATAATGATTACAAAAAAAAAATATATATATATTAATATCCCCTCCCAATAACATCCCTCCGTATGCTCCGGCTGGGCAATAATCCAGCAATCTGTCACTCACATGAGATCGCTCAATTAGCAAACCACAACGATCCAATTAATTCCCGATGGACAAAATCAAGTGCTGCCCTACATTTTTTTTTTCTCATTCGAGAAGTTGTCACGATAGGGAAGAAAAGATAATCGCAATTTCCGTTTCATGGCGACTTTAGGGATGCTGAGTTTAACTGAATTGTTACAGGTGCTGCTTGCTTGACTTAGTCATTTCTTCCTAAAACTAGATAAACCCGGGTAAAAACAAGAGCTGAAGGGATTTTTAATATGGAATCTGAAGAAGCAAACCACAAGAGTGATGAGTGACACAGACTCTCTAGAGTGTAGAAGATTGCGTGAAGGGAACTCACATTTTTTCCACACAAGCGCTGCTCCAAACTCTTACCTTCCTAAAGACCCATACTGACTGGCTCCTTGGCTGGCCTACAGTGTCTTATCCGGTTTCTGCTGCTGAGCAAGGCTTTGGTGGAGCTCGGGGTACACCAGGAAGCCAGTGAAAGTGATATACTTGGCGTGATTACTGTAAGCACCAAATCCATCCCTCTGGTGGCTGTAGAGCCAGACAGTATCTCCAGCCTGCAGTGACAACATCAGACTCTGGCTCTGCAGGGCCTTCTCAGTGTCGCTGTCATCGTAGATCATGGTCTGCACTTCCAAATGGTTCTTCATCAGCTTCACTGACAGGGTCTTATGGGGCAGCTTGCCAGCATTGAAGGAGAAGTAATAGGCTCCTGCTACTCTGCATCTGAATATACCAGAGCTCAAGTTGAAGTCGTTGCCGATGTTGACAAACTCTGTGTCAAAGACGATGGGCTGGTGCTCAGGGTGTCCTTGATCCACTCCCACAATACTCTGAGTGCGGCCCACTGAGAATGCTGACCGCTGGTCGTCATCTTCCTCCTCTCCATCTTTCCCATCCTCCTCTTTTATCTCTTCATCCCGTCTCTCTTCTTTCACACTCACACTAGTGTCTTTGATAATTGTATTTTCATGCTCAGTTAGTAAGTGATCGCTGGTTTTCGGTGGTTGATGGTCACTGTCATGATCTTTGTGTGTGGGCTCTTGGTAGCCGTACACATCGGGGTAGATCAGGTAACCGTTAAAGGTGGTGTAATGGCCCGTGTTGCTGTAGATAGCGTAGCGAGGGTCTCCGTGAAGACGAAGCCAGACGGTGTCTCCGAAATCAAGCTGCAGCATGGCACTCTGGCTCTGCACCTTCCGCTCTTCTCCGGCGTTCTCGTCGTAGACAATCGCCTGAACCTCATTGCGGTTCTTCATTAGCATGACCGACAGGTCTCGACGCGGGAACTTCCCCACCGTGAAGGAGAAATAGTACGCACCCGGAATCCTGCAGCGGAATAAGCCAGCCTTCGGATCGAAATCGCCACCGATGTTGACATACACCTTGTCGAAGGTGATGACCATCTTGGGCCCTCCCTCCATGCTGCTGGTACGTGCCACAGAGAACGCAGACCGCAGCTCCACGGCGTCAGACATGCGGGTGAATGCCCATGCGGTGGTCACATGACACAGCACACACAGCAGCAGGGGCCTGGTACCAGGCAGCATTTTAACTGCAGAGGGAATAAAGAAC